TGTTTACAGCCATGCCGGCAGATGTCGTAAAACAAAAATTGGACGAAAATCATTACAAACTGGAGGCCGAGTTGGAACCAAGATCAGATGCTCGAGCTTGTAATTGTCATGATCAGGCGTTATGTCATCGATTCTGTCTATACCTATTTCCAGTTTGTGCCCTCATTACATCCGTGTTTCTCATCTGCTTTGCGTTTAGAACGCCACAGCCTGGAATCGCTCTTGGCTTTAGTTTTCTCCTCTTGGTCCTTGCAATGTTTTACTGCGTTATTGGAAGTCTCGTCAAGTGTTGGATGCCTCATTCAGAAGACGAACGATATGATTCAGACAGTGATATCTATGATAAGACAAACGTTTCTCTTATAGTTGTGAGTACGGACGAAGCACCCGAGCTTGGAGGTCAGGGAGAAAAGGTTTGAATATCTAAAACTGGGGAGAAGTTGATGACAATAAATTTCGACAAGTTGAATTACCTAAAGTCATTGGTCTCCCTGAATAGATTCCGAAAATGTCGAGACTTTTATTCTTGTTGCATAGTATTGTACAGAGAAGAAAGACAAGGAGGGAGGAAGAAGGTAAAGTGAAAAATGCCTGATGATTTCAAACGCTTCTTTCAACGTTGTTGGACACTGATTTCAGTTTTTACAGAAAACGTCACAGTGACTGCTCTTTAAACAGTTCGGTAGAACAGATGTGATTTTTTAGTGTGTCTCAATTGATAGATTTTTAAGTAGTTAATCCTCGTCATATACATGTACATACATAACGAATGAGGAATAATAACAATAGACTCACTGATAGAGCTATTTGTGTTCAAAAAATCTTGAGATTGTTATCATCATCATACTCCCTAAGTTATTATTTCCTAATATCGGTTTTTAATTGCGAATTCGACGGCAACGAAGCAAGCGAGCAGAAACACGTGATTTATTGTTCTCATTTATAGCCCTCTTATCAATATACCACTTTCTCCAAGCATGTATGATTTATGACTTTCTACGTTCTCAAAATATAGATCGATTAAAGGATGGCTGTTTAAACCTTAATTAACATAATAAAAATAATGATTATTGTTAAATATAGTTTCTTATTATATGAAAATAGCATCCAAGTCTAATTCCGGAAACAATTTATTTTAATTAATACTCTAAATTATATTGTCCATTCCGATACATCGCCGCCGATCGGTTACGATGACTCAAAGATCGGTTCACCGCTTCCGTTAATATTGATTTTGAAAAATATTTGTACTTCCCTCGACCCTATTAATCCACATACTTAGTGGGTTTTCAAAATGTGTTTACTGCCCATATTTGTCTCCAAGGTGAACTGAACCTATTTGCAGTAAAAAAAAGCGAAACCAAAGGTGCAGTTATGTAATAGTTACTTTCGCGCCGTATTTGAATACGTCACAGGTGTATACGCTTGTGAATGACGTCATTGAGATTAAGTTGTTTTATCAATTATGACGTCAGCTGACCAGAAAAGATTTATACAGCCAATCTTTTTCCCTCGTTCAAAAATGAACGAAACTGTAAAAGATACTAACTCAAAACGAGTTGAGCTGAAGAAAACAAAGGCTGATTGACAGGTTCCCAAGGGTCTGAAAAGAGTTTTAAAAATGGTTAAACTGATGGACGGTCTGATATATAAATTAAAATGTTCACTTGGCTGATTGCAAGAGGCTTTTGTTGCATATATGTCATGCGATATTGGACCGTTAAAATTTGTTATTCTAAGAACCCCTCTCCCACCAAGAAAGTGCAACTTGCAGATTTGCGATATTTTAAATCCCTTTAAGTCATGACCAATATCAATTTTCTTTTAACAATATCGATACATAATTAATAAAGTTAGTAAAATGATCACCTACGGGAAACTTGTTTTTCACTTCAAACAAATTCTCTCAACTAGGCTGCGTAGCAGGCGCTTATAAGTAGTGGGCACAAGAAAAAACGGGCGCGCGAGGGAGAGGGAGCCTCACCGAGGAAATGTATGGAGATCAGTCTGGAGAATTGGGGCTTGGAAGGCTTAAAGATAAACTTTGCTGAAGTAAATTTTTACAATTGATGCGTTAGCATAAGGATTTTATAGAAAAGGCCTGATACTATGAAAAGTCAACTTCAATAACTGGAAGAGCTTATTAAAGTTAGTAACGTGTGCAATTTTTTGCTCTTTGCACGTAATGTATATAATTTCTTTCGCAGCTGCTCGTGTCGGAGTCAGTCTGGAGTGAATAAAGAACATTGAGTAGTTTCTTGGTGTCGCGGATGGGGTGTAATCACCAAATAACGTCATACAGAAGATTGAAAAGAAACTGAACAATACCCACTCCACGACACAAAAATGAACCAACAATAGTTTCCCCAACAAAAACAAACAACCAAATTTAATCATCAGAAAATATAATATCTCAGATCAAAGGTGATCATATGTTCATGGACCTTAAAGGGCTCATAAATTCCTAGTAACAACTTTCAAGTTCCGCACCGTATCTTGCAAAGAACATTTGCCATTTTAATTGGACTCACATTTTTGGACAAGAGATATTGTAACAGTATTATGATTCGCCACTAAAGAAAAACAAGAAGCTGCAAACTTGGCCGAGTTTTCTTTCGCAAAGACTTCTGGAACTGTTACCAGGGACAGGGAAACAAATTGGCCAATAGCTGATCGGAGCTTCCCCAGTAACGATATCAGAAAGAATTGTGGGGCGCATTTCGGCTCCACTTTCCTTACTGTTTCTTGGCAAATTCAGGTCGATATCACTTATGCAAAATGTGGGGCAAACAGAGTATATTATGGGGGATTTGAAAATACCAAACAAAGAAAAGCCTATGGGGCAAACTGGTTCCCATGGTCACTCTTTCGTCATCCTAGGATACTCAGACAAAGGATAAAACAAGGGTATCAATGATAAGCGTTGGACGAAAGTCAGGATAAAAGCAGATGACAGAATATATGTATAACTTAACAGACATGCTAAACATGACCGCGTGACCTAAAAAAAGGGGTGGATATCTGAAAGTTTTTGCTGTTTGTTTGTTTTTTTTTAATAATACCAGAACTAAGACTGTATATCATAATACCGTTTGCTCAAATTTCAAATGAGTTACAATTATAGTTTTCTCTACAAAATTTGATATTATTAGCGTGCAGAGTAGTCAAACTTGATAATTGAAAAGTACCCACCCTGGAGGTCATCAATACTCGAGGTCTTCGATGAGAAGCCACAAACTAAAAAAACACACTAAAAGCAAAAGAGAAAGAAAGCACCTAAGTTGTTCTACTCGAACTAATTTTGACAACCAGTCTTCTCTTCATTGCCACTGCCTTTTAATCCCGGGACTACTCCTTTATATGGCCTATACGGGGATGTCCCGCTGGACAGGGAATGTTTTTTGTCTTCTCTGTCTGAAACAGGTTATATTATTTCGTGCTAGTCTGCCCTACATAATTATACAAAGGGTATGGTATGAACAGATTAAGTATGTCATCACTGCTTTGGACTGACCCAGACGACATTTTGTCCTTTGTCCCAAATAGGGTAATAACATTGACGGTATTGTCTTAAACAAGCTATTCAGTTTTAGGATTTTTTCTGTACTTAACAGGCCGGTTTGAAGAGTTACTCATTTGACAGAGACAGTGCCAGACCTGCTTGCTGCTACGTCACACATCGGCATCAACCCTGAGGAAAAAACAAACAATTGCAAGCAAATGCAAAAACAAAAATAAAAACCTCAAGTATTACTCTCCCTTTCCCCTTCACATTAACCCTTCTTGAAATAAAACAAAGAACGAAAGAAAACGAAAAAAATTAAGAGAGAAAGAAATATATTCTTAGGCTATCTCCACAGATGTAAAGATGCCTAACCGGAACTGTAGTAGGAATTAAATTACAGCATAAAGTTGCACTGCCACTAGACGTAACTATTAAATTGCCAAGAGAAATAAGCTACTTTGCTCTTCTCTATCTCGATCTCTATTTGCTAATATATCAAAAGGCGCAACGAACGCACAAGGCGTTTAACACTGTTTAGTTTGTTGAAACCAACGTAAAAAAACTGAAGCTGGGAAAACGAGAATAATGAATACATCCTACTTATTTTTCTTCATGTTTTCTCTTGTCATGTGACGAACATTTTGAGATTAATTTACTTTTTCTGCCTTTTCAGTATGCTATTTGATTAGAATTATTTCTGAGTAATCCGCCTCCTTGCATTAGTTTTGACTGAATTTCAGTAAGGCCCGTTCTCAGTACAGTAGACTGGCGTTGTGACGAGAAAGAAAACGAAAAAGCACGGCGTGTTATTAGTGGCTTGACCTACATTCATTTGCGCGTGATTGTTCAAGGCGGGATATAACGGTTTGCTTGAAACTACAGTCTGCAGGAGTTATTGCCTGAAGAACGAGTGGAAAGAATTTTTTTAAAATCAGCCCACTGGAAAACCTGAAATTTATTATATGACATGACTGGCGAGATTTGGGAATCATAAAATCACCAAAACTATTAAATTCACCATATAACGAGTTGTACGACACTTACGATAAAATTTAATTAGCTATTCAGTTTAACAATTAATTAAGGCGATTCCTGGTGACATGAAACTCACTAAAAGCCTTAATAATTTATGTTATGGTTTCGCAATTTTAATAGCGTTCCACATTATTTCATTTTTCTTTTCTTTCTTTCTTTTCCTGATTTATTCCATTGATCCCTTTCCAAAATGACTGAAATTAATAAGCAAACCACTAATTAAATTTCGATCTTCTTTTATTTCGAGGTTGAAAATTAAAGTGACGTAAACTGTTTCTAGAAGTGTTGTCAAAGAAAAGCTGTATTGTCACTACAATTTGCTTTTCGCGGTGGTGCATCATTTTGTTATATGCCGTTGCCTGGTAACATTTCGACTGCTTTGCTTCATGGGATGCGACATTTTGCATTTGGCTGGAGCAAATAGATTTGAGTTCGTGGAGCGATTTTTTTGTTAACGTTGTCTTCTTTCAACTATCTCAATAACTAATTTCCTAACAACTCCGTTTTGTCGCCGAAGGATCATACAATTGTCCTGTGCCATGCAAAAGGGAAAAGTCGTACTTGAATTGACTTTTTTCTCGCTATAGAAGACTGGTGTATGCCATGCATTCAATAATATTATGAAGCATATGGTGTTTACTTAGATTTTTAAAAGGAGGAACCGCGATTGCCAATTTTCTCTTGGATATTTGGATAAAGAGCTGTTTTCCTCTGGTTTACGGAATTGGACAATTTGATGGTTTTCCTATGAGGAAAAAGAGGCGAAAACTTCTCCACATCCATCCTTTGTGTTGAATTGAAGGCCCTATTTCGGTGCGATATTGTGCGTATTGTGTTTGGAAGATTTAATAATTTTGCCGCAATGAAACGGTACCATATTTCAAAGACACTTGGAGATGGAACTTATGGATCAGTTTTACTGGGAAGACATGTCGAAACGGGAGAAACAGTCGCCATAAAAAAGTAAGCTAAACGCTTGGGTTTGAGTACATTGAAGAAAACTTAGTGGTCCTTTGAGGGTTTAGGCTTATATTAAAAAGTGAGAATTATATAAGCTTAAGCTTATACATCTTTAACTGATCACCCGATATATCTTGCTTGATTTCTTTGTAGGATGAAAAAGAAATACTATTCTTGGGAAGAATGTATCAATCTCCGTGAAGTTAAGGTAACAGGACTGTTTTCCTTGTTTGTAACGTAACCCCATTATGAAGGTCGGAAACAGATTGTTTCACGAAATCTATCACCGCAATAATTATAACGTGCTTCCGTAGGTGTAATCAGACGTTTTATAAAATAATAATTACTGAAACATGGGTCTGTTACTATATCAATCATTTTGTAGTCTTTTCAGATTGACCTGAATATGGTTTTTCGAGATCATCATCCCTTTTTCACTCATTCCTCTCATTCAGACTTTTGGGGGCTAATAAGGCCCTGTTAAGGTAAAATTCCAACAAACAACATGGCCTTGAAACAGCGACATGAGACTAGATGAAATGGTGGTAAAAAACAAAAGGATGGTTTGAATACCGCAGACATCAGGCCCCAGTTGTTCAAAAGTTAGGTAGAGCTATCCACTGCACTATCCAAGGGATAAGTTTTAGGGAAACCAATTATTGTGCTATCCAGTGGATAGTAATTTATCTGGCCTCGGTTTTTCAAAGGCTGGATAGCGCTATCCACCGGATAAATCTCTATTCTATGGATAGTGCAATCAGTTTCCCCCAAATTATACTTATGGGGGGCTGGATAGTGATTTATCCGGTGGATAGCACTATCCAACGTTTGAACAACTGGGGCCTGGCCCCGGTTGTGCAAATGTTGGATAGCGCTATCCACCGGATAAATCACTATCCAGCGGATGAGTATTATGGAAACCAACTACGCTATCCTCTGGATAGAGATTTATCCGGTGGATAGCACTATCCAACGTTTGAACAACTGGGGCCTGGTGGATAGTATTATCCACCTTTTGAACAGCTGCGGCCAGGTCTACTCCTCAAAGTGCAAACAACCATATTATTTGAAATACAGACTGGGAACATACATATACCCCTACGAGGGCCTCCTTTATCCTGGAAATGAATATGGATATGGTCTTGGTGTCTCAGATTCTGATTGTTTAATCACAAAATAAGGTGATACAAGAGATTAAAAAGACTCCACATGATACCCCTCCCCCAACACATATACCTACAACCAACAATAGTTTGCGCAACACCAAGAAATAGGGGAGATGTTGGATAGGAAAAGGCACGGTCTCAATTCCCTCGCAACAGTGTCAAGGAAAAGTCAAAATGAAAGGTTTTTTTTAACAACATTTAGCAAATGCAGGTTGCTTTTCATACTGGGTGTTGGTTCTTCAAACAACATTTCCTTGTTTCTTGACTATAAGATCCATCACCAAATCCCACATTCTGGGTCACCCCCCTCTTTTTCACTAAAATGCTGAATACCAGAATAATCCCTTTGAGTACATACTTTTTTGTTTTCAATGAGCACTTAAGTACTGGGTATCAACAATAATAATAATTATTAACAGTTAGCAGTCAACTGATGAGTATCAGTTGTGAATTCAACCAATACTCTTCCGTGGTGAGAGGTTCACTAATATACATAGTCATCTATCCTTCAAAGATCACTCTTAAGTACAGTTTGGGTGACACGTGGAGATCATATTTGGTATTTCTGGACAGTTGACTGTAAAAGAGATGCCTTACACTGGGGCGTTTGACTGTACTTTCTCCCAAGCAAGACTGGCTATTCCATACGTTTTGACTTAAATTTGTATAACAAACTTTAATTTTTAGTAAATGATACTGATCAATGTTGTAATATTATTATCATAATAATTCTTCTTCAGTCTCTCAGAAAATTAAATCATGCCAATGTGGTCAAGCTTAAGGAAGTGATCAGGGAAAATGATGAGTTATTCTTTGTATTTGAGTACATGAAAGAAAATCTCTACCAAATGATGAAGAGCAGGTACATATAATGACCTTTTTTGGTTCTTAACCTGCCCTTTTAGTTTATAGAAAAATTAATAACATTAACAATACAGCTTAGTTAGTCATAATAAAAATAATAATAATAATAATAATAATAATAATGGAAACTTTTTTTTTGTTTTTGAATGTACAATAATTGTAAATCTCGCTACGTATAGGCAATTTACAAATGCTGCTTGAGATTGGATTATTCCAAAAAAAAAACAAACAAAAACAAAACAAAAAAGCAACAACAACAACAACAAAAAAGAAATCAAAATTGCATTTAGTCTGGGCTATCCCAGTTCCTATTTCTACAACAAAAGATGTAATATGTTGCTCTAATGGCTATATTTATCATTTTCTTGATTGTGTGGTTCCAGAAAATATCCAGACCCCCACCACGGAAGGAATTGGAAATTCCAGGGGGGTGGGGGGATCAGAGGCCCAGGAAATTCCAGAAGGGAGGGGGGTTGGACCATAAAATCACTTTCCAGAGGGTATTTCCTTTTCGACCTGAGTTCGAACGTTGCTTCTTACCGACCTGGTAGATCATTTTTAGGACATAAATAACTTGAAATATATCACTTAAGATTGTTCCTTTTGATCTTAACCAGGTTTCCTCTCTTCCAAAAGCGTTTTGGATGTAATTTCAAAGGAATTAGACCGACTACAACTCGTTTTATCGCGTCGTCGTGTACTAGGGCACCACTACTCATTACCAGTCTTCCTTAAAACATCAACGCGTGCAACACATCACGCAACACATCTCGTTGCATCAGTCAATTGATAGATCAGAAGAGTGGCAATTTTGCCTCACGAAGCTCAAGCTATAATTGTAACCATTTTAGAATGTAGAGTTTTTATTCTCCTTTTCATTTTCCCTTAATTTTGTGGTTGAACGTGTGGCATGTTCATGATCGAATTCTCGCTGAAATGGTGTCGATTTCACCAAACACTTACTCCAGTATACGGCCATTGCGCATCACGTCGCATTAGTCGATCGAAAAACAGTAAATTGAACTTGGTTTCCCTTCAAGTACCTTCAAGATGCAGGGGGTATCCATTGTTATCATTTCAGAATTCAGAGTTTTTATTCTCCTCTTTGTTTTGCATTAATTTTGTGGTCGTAAGTTTGACTTGTTCTACATTCGAATTCCCGTACGAAATTGATTCTATCAACATTATGCCCTTGAGACGAATAACAAATCGTAAGCTTGCCCTGAGTAAGGTAAATTCACAAATATAACCGACTTATTAACTTTCTCTGTTTCATTTAAAGTAAGAGATGAGCAAAAATTACAGATCAGGTTACTTTGTGGTGGTGTAGTGTGTTTTAATGTTGTGAGATCACTCAAATAAATGGAAACTGAAGCATACAAGCTTCTGATGGAAACCATTGAGTACTAACCATAAGTTGCCTCATTCTTCTACTTTAATAGTCTTGCTTCGTGAAAATGAACTTTTCCAGAGGGGTTGGGGGGTCTTTGTCACACTTGTGGAAATTCCGAAGGGGTGGGGGGTCATCAGTTCCCTTCAAAAATGGAAAATCCAGGGAGGTGGGGGGGTCCTAAGTGAAATTCCCTCCGTGGTGGGGGTCTGGATATTTTCTGGAACTACACATTATATAAAGTTGCTGCTTTTTGTCAATGCCAATGTCATTTGTCATGTCTAACAACGTGGAGCATTCATCAATAATAATAATAATAATAATAATAATAATAATAAAAAAAATAATAATAATCAGTCCTAGAATTTGGTTCAGGTCTTTGAAAAGTACTTGATTTCTACAAGGGTCTTAAACTGTCCTTGAAATTCACTACTTTAGTTTGTTTACACCACATCATCTTTCGTGAAATAAGATTATTTTGCAGAGGAAAATTTAGCTCATTTTTACCTTGGTCTAAGAACCTGTAAAACTTGTAAAACCATTTTTGTGCATGAATGATATCTTATTTTTCAGATGCAATGCAACTCATACCCAGTACAAATCATAAATGACTCCATTGAGTGTTTTAGCTAACAAGGTGTTCAAAAGGGGGTCAAAGAATGCTGATTTATGGAATATATGTTAGTCATTGAAAATTGTGATTTGTCCGTGAAAAGTCCTTGAATTTTGTTTATCTAAAGTTGTACAATTACCATGAAAATGGCTTGAAAAGTTGGGCACAATTTTTTCAGGCTTTCTTTTCGAATCAGTCTGCTTAAGTTGCATACATATTGTTCACTTGTAAGAGTGAAAATAATTTGGAACTTTAGAATATCAGACATAATAATCATGCAAGTAATACAATGCAAACCATAAAATTCCGAAAATAAGCCCTCTATGTATAAGCCCCTCCAAATATAAGCTCCCCAAACTCATAACACAAAAAAACCTCCGTACTTGGAAATTGCCCTCAAATACAAAGTAAAACAAAGCAAAAACGGTAAATTTCCTTCCAACTAAAAGGCTAGCCCAATCGATTTTGAAACGCAAATTTCCCTCCGTACATAAGCCCCTCAAAAAGGGCCTTTGAAAAATATAAGCCCCGGGGCTTATTTTCGGAATTTTACTGTATTAGAGCGGTTTTCACTTGACTGTCGTAAAACCAAAACCAAAGTAAATACACTAGCCAACCAAAGGGCGTAGCAAAACCAAAACCAAAACCAAAACCAATCCCTTTCGACAGTCAGGCAAGTGAAAACCGCTCTAACTGCATAACCATCATTCATGAATTGTACTGTAGTTCTGATCATCTGTTTACTTTTCAGAGACAAGCTGATTCCAGAATCCATGATTAGAAACATAATTTATCAAGTTTTGCAAGGTCTCGCCTTTGTTCATAAACATGGTACGTAGGTCAAACAAATTTCCTGTATTAATAATGAAAATTAAATCATAGTAATTAGTGTAACTGTGATGTTGCAATGTATGATTTAGGTCATTCTCTCAATATCAGGAGCTTAATCCAAAGTAAGAGAAAATTAAGAATAAGAGAAATTCTGAAAGCACAAACTTAAGTGGAATGCCCAAAATTAACATTGATTCCACTGTGACCTTAACAGTAGAAAATTACCCTTTAACCTTGCCACAACCCATCTCCAGGCACCCATAATAACAGCACAAAGGGTGTGGAACAATACTTTCCAGGACTAAAAATTCAAAGGGTACTTACCAAAGCTTGGGGGGGGAGGGGGGTGGGAAGGTTAAGGGACAGCTGTGAGTTAGGATTTTACTACTAAGGTAAAATTGGCTTGCTACCTTAAGTTTGAGACTGGCTACTGACTGGCTACTTCCATGAGAGACCAGGGGTCAATTTAATATAACTTTTACATGTGTAATTTACAAGTGTGGCTGTTGTTTTCAAACTCTTAAACAATTAATGCAGGGTTGTCACTAAGATTTCAAGTTGCCGGGTAAATACAACAAGTAGGCGGAGAATCAAACGGTTAGGGATTTCTTTTGGTTCTATTTTTCTTCTATTTTCCAATAAAAGTAGCCGGGGGCCACTCTCTTAGTAGCCGGGGAAAATCCCCGGCCCCCGGCTCTTAATGACAACCCTGATTAATGGCTACACTTGTAAATTACGTGTGTAAAAGATTTATTAACTTGACCCCAGCCACTTAAAACCTTAATGAAAGCCCTCTTCCTATGCAATGTAAGCAAAGTGAAAGCAGATGGAAGTACCCCCTAAAAACCCCCATATATTACAAGTACTATTGACAAGCTTTGATTTCAGCCTTGCCTTTATTCCATTTAGCCATGTGCAGTTAACTCTGACATAATAGTCACATCCCCCAATACCTTAACCCCGAGTTTTCAAGAGCATATGGAAGAATCTTGGGAATTAGGTAATAATCATGGTTCCTATACTGTAATGACGTAGAAGGCTAATCAAAACAGTGGACGGTAAAATTGTCCAGCAAAATTCTTGAAAAAAATCTGTTTTTAAGCCAACTGTCTGTTTATGACCTAAACAGGGTTCTTTCATCGTGACATGAAGCCAGAAAACCTCCTATGTACAGGCCCAGAACTGGTTAAAATTGCTGATTTTGGTCTTGCAAGAGAAACAAGGTCACGCCCACCATATACAGATTACGTTTCAACTAGATGGTAAGGGTATACAGATGAATAGTTTTTTTACGTTCCTGGGTAAGCTTTGTGTAGTTTTAAATCAATGTTTGAAAATTAGAGAATATTGTGTATGACTGCATAGTTAACTCCAACAAAGTGGAAGCCTGCATGTATTGAGAAGACCTTCTTATAGAGTACAAAAAGTATTAGGGAATTATTTGGGATTTCCATGAGGTCAGTTTGGGCCACGCAGAAGCTGTGTTGTGCAGCAATATGATGGATGGTATGATATCGCTAAAGTAGATTTTCCATCAAACACTTACATGTACCTTTATTAGATTGTTGACAAGTTTATGTTCAGGACTGTGGATGATGTTTCTTATAATTTATAAACTGAAATTATTAGGAGTTAAATTTGTTATTAAATATTTAATATTATGTGTTAATGTTGCCCAAATTATACAATTTTGTAGTAGTTAGGGACTTGTCAGAAATTAGCAGGGGGGAGGGGGGGTGGAAACAGAGGGAGGGTCACAACTTTTTGAGACTGCAGAAAAGGGAGGAGTCATGAAAAATGGGCCATTAAAAGGGGGAGGGCCATGCAAATATGTTTCAGTGATCATGTAGAGGTTCACCCACAGAAGAAAAAAGAAGTTCTTTATTGTGTAAAAATACTAGGAGAAATAGGAGAGTTGAGTGATCAGCTGTCAGAATCAGAGTCGGACTCTTAATGCTGTCATCTAAAATGTATGTATATGGCATTACAAAGAACAGATTAGAAATATATTTTGAGCTTTCATAATACTGACTCACCCTAGTGTATTGCAACAACTAGATTTTATCATTTATACAAGAGGGGGAGGGTCATGATATTTTAGGCCAAGGTCAAGGGGAGGGTTAGCAAATTTCACTCCCATTGCAGGGATGGGTCACCTCATTTCCAAACCCAAATTTAAAATTCCTACCTCCCTCCCCCCCTGCTAATTTCTGACAAGTCCGTTATAAGATTTCTCTTGGATCATGCAATTAGACATTGAGTTTGAAATCAGTTGTGCAAATTTGAATCATTTCATGATTGTATTAGCCCAAGTATTCAGCTGTAGCTGATCTCCAGAATTGCAACTTCTGTGTGCTTTGCATAAATACATAAAACAATGCTCCTCTGTTTGCCTGATCTGTTAGAGTTGTGAGAAAACTGAATACTCTTTCAAGTTATAAAAATTCTAGCGAAATCATACCTCCTTTAAGCATGCAACTACTCAAAATGCGAAAATTTAGTGGTTGCATACGAGTTTCTATCTACAGGGGGTCTCTTCTGAGAAGAGTTTAGAGCTCTAGTTCTCTGTGGAGAATTGTTCACATTTTCTTCTTGTTAGAAAAAGCAGTTATAGTGCCCGGTAACCACAAGTACATCCTTGACAAACCGTGTTGCCATTGATGCATTTCGCTGAATTAAATAAGCCCCCCTCTCTTTTAAGCCCCCCCCCCTCAAAAGTGTTTGAAAAAATAAGCCCCCCCCCCCTGCTGGGGGGGGCTGAATAGAGGATTTGCAGGTATTTGAGTATTGTAGTGCATACAGAACGTAGAGAGCAGGCTATCAGTCAAGTGATCACTTACAAGAGTTTGAAAACAAAGTAAAATATATAAAACTGTCACCCAGAAAAGTGGTCAAGGTCACTTACAAGAGGTTGCAACCAGTGGCATAGCCAGCTTTCAGGGTTCTCAATAGATTTTTAAGTAGGAGGTGATCACTGATAAAGTAGAAGGCTCTTCAGCAAAGCCAGAGGTGTCAAAACAAAGCAAAGAAGAGCGACTTAAACACAAAGTAAGCGGCTATAAATCCCAAAGTAAGCGGCGATCAATCGCCGGGTGCCGCCTTCTATTGAGAACCCTGGCTTTTCAACTAGTTGTAGGCCTGGCTGATTTTCATTTCCGCATATCCTGAAAATTGCACCCATGACTGGCGCGCACTGACCTCACCAACACTTTCAGCTCTTAAGCTTTTTAGCTCACCCCAACAATGCATAATTTATTACAACCAGTAGGGTGATCACGGCAAAAATTTGTAGGCCCAGCTCTGCAGGTCTATGGGATGGCTATGCCTCTGCCAACTATAAGGCTTTGTAAGACTGAAACGTTTTTTGGTGTTTTGGACGGATGGTTGCTTACAGGAGGTGGTCGCTTATGAGAGGAGGTTGCTCATGGAGATTCAACTGTACAGGGCATTCTTTGAAACATATCTCACACTATCAAACTGCAGTGATCCATTTTTTACCCTAGATACGATCCTAGTAGTATGTTCTTACATGCATGCTGTACCTACCTTTTATCAAGTTGCTATCTGTTTTAAAGAAGGAAAAAAACAATATTCGCTTTATGATGTCACTTATTTACATGTAGAAGTAAAATTACGATGACTTTCTTGTAAATTTGTTCCTTTGTATAAAGCAGTTATATGTGGAGGTGGAAAATAATACAGCTTTTTAAATAGTTTTGTTGTGATTGATTTAAAGGTACCGTGCTCCTGAAGTTCTCTTGCGATCAACAAACTACAATTCACCAATTGATGTATGGGCGGTTGGCTGCATTATGGCTGAATTGTACATGCTTAGACCACTTTTTCCTGGGAGTAGTGAAATTGATACAATATTTAAAGTACTTGCTGTTCTTGGCACTCCATCAAAGGTTTGTTTCCTATTGCTTTTCAAAGTTATATGTGTCATGGTATTCTAATCCATTTTGTTTAGTTTTGTTAGTTACTGGCCTTTACCAACCATGTATGAAACTTAGTGGAATCATTACATTCATGGACAAAAAAAACGACTGTTGTACTGTCTACATCAGCCTATATGCACCCCTTTGAAAGAAAAGAGGGAAGCCTCTAATAGAAAACTCTAAGGTCACATTTTACACTTGTCTATCACCAGCTTTAATAAGTGTTGTTTGGCCTGTCAACACTTTATTTACAACTTATAACACTCCTTCTATACCATCAACTGACGTGATACAACTCACTTTGACTCTGAAGATGACTACCACACAGGTTGTCGAAACGTCATTCACCGTCAACAACAGTCCTATTCAGGACTACGTTCACCCAGATAATCAAACTCAACCTACTTTTGAAATGACTCCTGGGTTCAAACCTTTCACAACACTCCTTCTTATTGTCTAGGTTTTTCAAAGGTTTACTTCATGTAGCACCAATGGCTAAATTAATATTTGTTAACCCACATTGTGAATGGATACATGTAACGGCCTATGCACAGGATATCACTACATGTATTCACTGTTAAAGCAGGTTATTAGTAGGTCTAAAAGTCCACATTTCATAATGTTATTGCATTTGTCATTTAATAGGAGGAGTGGCCTGAAGGACATCAATTAGCTGCAGCTATGAATTTCAAGTTTATGCATACGGTATGGATTTGCTTACTGCTTTACTTCAATTTGAATGCGTGTAGAGTCAGTTTTTAAGAAGGAACACCATTGTCGCAAATCGTTAACAATCCTCTGCCTGACAATGGAGCAAATTAAATCACTAACACTAAAGCATCTTGATTTTTAACCGAATTGTCTTCACAATAATACCATAAATTTTTATAGAGAGCAGCATGGATAATGAAGGTGGATTAGTCACAACATAATAAAGGGTAAACCTTGTAATAAAATATGGCAAGGATTAGCTCAGTTGTTAGAGCGGTTGACTGAAGAGTGGAAGGTCGCAGGTTCATCTCCTGGGGCCAGACCAATACTCAGGGTTTTAAAATAACTGAGAAATGAAGGCACTCCCTTTGCACTGCAAGCGGCTAGACCTTCACATGGCTCGGATGATCACGTAAAATGGCAATCCCTTCTCCCGTTTGAGATGTAAAAATAGTGTCCCCAATTAGCACTTTCATGCTAAATACTTTAACACTCAAATAAAGGGCCTTTTTTAACTCTTTATTTCAGGTCCCAACAAATCTAAAAGACTTGATGCAGAATGCCAGTCCCGAAGCCATTCAGTTAATGCGGGATATGTTGATGTGGAACCCAAAGAAGCGCCCCACCTGTGCACAGGCACTAAGATATCCATACTTTCAAGTGGGGCAGAACTTACCAAAACCTGTCTCACAAATGCAATCGCAGCATAGAAGTCAAATCACACAGCGACAGCCTGCTGTAAAACCTGTTCCACAAATGGACAGGAATGATTCATTTAATTCATCCTTTGGTGGTGGAAAAGAAAACAGAAGAGCTCCTCAACCAGTTGCTCAGCAAGGAAGGAAGGATTCTGTCAAGTCATTCTTTGGCAGTGCAAAGGGAGAGAAACAAGTGGAGCCAGATTCTGGGGTTAGAACTGTTGCACCAACTAAGGTTGGCAATACGTTTGGCCCTTTAAGTGGGCGGAGGAGATGGGGCGGTGGAGGTGTTGGAGTTAAAGATAGCACGGACGAATTTGAATCATTGCTTAATGAGATTGATACAGATTCATCATACAAGAAAAAGGTTGGTGTGGAAACAAGTGATTATCATGTTATTTTGTTTGTCAAAATGATTTAAGTACTGTGTCTTTGGAAACCACTCCTGTAAATTTTCTAACTTTGCTATTCTATTTTTGGCTATTTTGCAGGCTGTCACTCAAAATAAGACAGACCCACTTGATTGGCTTTCAAGGTTGGTTCTAACAGCTCTTGAAAATCTTGGACTTTGTTAGATCACCTATTTTTGACCCATTCGCAATTCAACTGACTGTAACTACCCATATGATGCCACATCCCTTATACCGCTTAAGATGTCATCAATTTTAATTGTCTAAGAAAACTTTGACTCCTAACTTATGCAAGCATCGGAATTAAGTGAAATTATTCTCCTATGCAGTGTCTCTTTTTTTAATTTTGAAGTAACTTTTCTTTTACAGCTCACAGCATGGCTCAGGTGTCTCGAGAAAGACACCGCCTAGTGCTAAACAACATTATATGAAGCAAGCACGTTATTTCAGTGGTCAAAAGATGAATGCACAACCCCAACAGACAATACACAATCAAGCAGTAGCCCCTACATTCACTCGAAATGCCGCTTATGGGGCAACCGGAGGAAATGCTATGGGGGGACATAATTATGTGCCATCGTTTGGTTCAGGAATGGCAAACAGAGGGGTGGGAGTAGGACGTAAGTAACTGTCGTTTTACAGAAATATTTTGTATCATTTGTAGTTGGTTGATGGCTTAAACTACAGTCGGTGACAAAATTAGTTGGGACACTTTAACCGCAGCAGGATTAGCTCAGTCGGTACAGCGCTTGATCGCAGAGCGGGAGGTCGCGGGTTCGATTCCCGGGGCCGGACCATTACTCAGGGTCTTAAAATAACTGAAAAATGAAGGTACTCCCTTTGCATTGCAATCGGCTAGACCTTCGCGTTGCTCGGATGACCAGGTAAAATGGCGGTTCCGTCTCCAGTAGGAGACTTAAAAATGGTGTCCCCAATTATCACTTTCGTGCAAAATACATTGACACTCAAATAAAGCGCTTTTTTTACCCCAAAGGACCTTTCTAACATTTTGCCAACTTTAAAAAGAGAAAATTTAGCTTTGCTTCCCCCACCCCCTCTATGCACTGTTATGCCGCTGTTCGAGTTGTCCGTAAAAAAACAACAAACACCCCCAACTTTGAATGGAGGGGAGATGGAAGGGTTTTGAATTGTTTTGTTCTCTTAAGTTGATGTTTTGGATAAGTGGTGTGGTCGCGCATGGAGTTGGGATTGTAATATCCAGTGGGGTTGCATGTAGCAAGACTGCAGACGTATTTCCGGTCGTCGCCTCTCGACGATCGGGAATACGTTTGCGGTTCGTAGGCTAGGTTGCATGTTTTCCACTGATGGGGAAAGGCAAGAGAGAATAATTTGACAGAGAGGGAATCTTAGGGCGTTGGTCAGGATATGTAAGTTTCAGTGAAGTTATTTTTAGAGGTGGTCATTGAACGGAAGTCTAATTCTTGAGACGTCCGCACATTCTGATCGATTGTTTGAAACGTCATTAAACTCGTCAACAACAGGTGAGCATGGGGCAGGTACCTGACAAGCTGGTGGAGCCAGGAACTGCAGCCGAGTGCAGCGGGTAACCATGACAACTCTGTGAGCAGCATCCACCCAGGCACCGTCACAATGCTAACCAGTGGAAAGTTAATATACTTACCCAATACTTACCAAAGGGAGGGCTGGAAAGGGAGCAGAAATAAACACAAGCAAATGTACACGTAATGCAGTACGGGTGAAATGAGATGACCTTAATATGATAGCCGTTAAATCCTAGATGCCCGTGTGAAAGGCTCACGGCCGCCCCTGTGAATTTTAGGGAAACACAGCTGGCCAGCGTTGTGTAGCATTGCGTAAATTGTATTCAGCCACATTCACGCGAAACTGCCTAAAAGTAAGCAATGCAGAATATCGTAGTGGCAACTGTTGAAATCTCTCTTGACAACACTGAATGAACCAACTACCCATTAATTTCAAGCGTTCAATTGGCTTTAAAAAAAACTTTGGTGAAATTCACGTATCCCAAGGGTTAGCTTGGGTGTTTCTCTATCTCTCCCTTTATTCTATCTTAGTAAAGGGGATTCCATAGAGGGCCTCCATCTACTTCAAAGTATTTCATTCCTCTTTATTTTTTTCTTTTAGACTCCAGTTGGAAAGCACAACTTACTAAACAGCCAAGTGGCACATTTTACCAGCCCCCTGGCGCGTCATTGACCAAACAAACTCTTGGAAAATCTGCCGTTGGTCGAACAGACTGGAGTCAAAAGTGAGTTGCTTTCGTAGATATCGATACATGTACAGTTAAACTGACCCACATTCAAGAACCTACATTTGTCCAATTTTGTTACAAAAGGTTCCTGATATGACTGTAGTCTGCGACACAGCCGTTTCTAATGTCGTAACTAAAAATGTTTGTCTCCTGCTGGGGAGGACACAACAACGACACTTAAAACATGTGACGACACTTAAAACGGTTGTGTAGCAGACTAAAATGACTGGTGTTCACAGGGAAATTAAGGTACAGCAATACGACGGAGCAATAAGAAACGTGCAACTTGTTTTACAGCATTGCTGCAAAACTCGAATACAAGTGCATGTCGTATCAAATTAGCATATATAATAGAGAGGTTAAGCACCACGTTTACGTCAAAGGGCAAACGCGAATTTGTACCACGTGACCAAGTTTCCTCTTTACTTTTCGTTTACTGTTCATTGTTTCTACACCTAAATTAGTAGTTTCAACTCTTAACTCTTATTAACTGGGTTAATACCCTCCACCGTTTAAAAAGAGTTTGTATCAATTAAGGTTCCTGAGAAACTCCCCACCTACCCCTCCCTTAAGCCAACATTTTGCCCTAAGTGAGAAGTAAGTGTTAATGTTAGCTTAGGGGAGGGGTAGGTAGGCTATTTGAAAGTACAAAGTTGGTGCAATTTGATTTAAATTTTTTTTTTCATGTTAATATTATGTACGAAATTTAAAGGGGTTTTGCACTCTATAGTTGTTAATTAACAATTACTCCACGATTGCGCGTTGGATATGAGATGGTAGATAACTAACGAGGCATGTAGCGCCGAGTTGGCCATAATAAACTCATATCTAATAAGCGCGAGTGGAATAATTGTATTGTTAAAAACGCCAACAAAAAATATCCAGAATTCTTCCCGACTTCATTTATAAAAACAAACGATTTTCAGCTTGTTTTAAATTTTGAGCAGACGCGGGCAGTTACCATATTTGGAAAGCATGGTATAATGGCTCATATAACATAATGGCTAAGCCAATCAGAGCTCTAGAATTGAATCATCCAATGATTCAGTTTTTAATAATCTTTTAACTTTGCAAAGTTTAAGTTATATTTGTATAGCATGTACGTTTGCTTGAACAAAAGATAAAGAGATCTAAAGACCTGATGGTTCTAAACCAATGGGGAGGTGCATTTGATCGGATAATGCCTTCGCTACTTTGCTACGCGCCTGGTCTTTTTTTTTTTCCACCAACATCAACACCGTCGCGGAACAAAAACTTTAGCTCTTTTATGTCTTTGATACAGACCAACAACCTGGCTTTTTGTTTCCGACAAGATTACTACCTTTATATACGATAACATTGTTACATCTTTGTTTCAGATATGCCAGATCGTGAAAAATGGCAGGGAAAAAAACGACAATGGATCTCTTGAATTCACAAGTCATGACCTTGTCTATTGTAAAGTTTTATTTTACGTTAAAATGATCGCAAAACATCAACTATCAGTTGGTTAGAATGTTAGGTTAAAAAATCATTATCACAATTGAACCATCTCATCTTTGGCCTGCATTTATTGTAAATTTAGTTTTAATTGAAGTTGATGATTGATCAATCATAAAAACAATCCTTTAAAATTGCGAGAAATTGTAATGCAGGTAAAACTGATCTTTTCCGTGTAGGAAAATGAATTAGGGGAATGTTGATAGACGTTCAACCGTTTTACCTTAAATAATAAAATACACGTTCTCCCTTCTTGTTTCAGAATTTTCTTATTATAGTAGTAGGGAGAATTTGTTCAAATATCAGTAGAATTTACCTTGAGTAATTATGTCGTTAATTCTCATTACGTCCCTGATTGATTAAGCATTGGTATTACAAAGAGAATTTGGTACTAATCACTTTTGAGGCTCAAAGGGTCAAGGGTGGTGTATCCATCCAAGTGTACCAGTGGTCTTGTTTAGATAAAGTATTCGTATTGTCAATGTAAACTCATAACTAGTTTTGTTTAGGCCACTTAAACCAATGTTTTTCTACTTTTCCAGATTAGTTCTGTTCACACACCACGAAATTGTAAATATTTACCATAAAAATCGTGTAGAAATAATTCAGTGAAATGTTGCGACCTCAACGGTAACTCACTGAGCCCTTCACTAAAGTGTTTCGGGAGAGCGTAATAGGATCTGTTCGTTTTCTGTTAAACCACTATGTACAGAGGGATCCTGTTGCTCGTTGTATTTTATTTATTTATTAAATTGTCCCCCAGATACCGGTTAATATAATAACAATGTTAAATAAAAATACAGTCCAAATAATTTGTAACTTATTCATTGTTATCTGCAGATTCAGTTAACTTAACTAATTTCATGTTTTTGGATGCTTGTTTCTCTGTAATGACCATTTCTCTTAACACGGTTTGAACTGCGGCGCTGTCTTCCACATTATCGTGGGTTCGACATTACAAGGACCAAGCTTTGAATATCTCTACCCCCTATATAAATGACCAGAAGGCATCAATCGCCATGCGATTTGCAGTTGAAAAGGTGTCGCCGTCGCCGTCTGTAGGTTGCATTATTACCCTTCATTACTATCCCCTGGAGGGGGAATGAATCCTATAGTGGCCTATACGGGAAGTTCCGTACGAAAGGGGTATAGGGATTTCACTTGTTGAAGTATATAAAAGGGTAGACAGGGAAATCGGTCTGCGCGTCAGTAAAAAGACCCAAAAGGGCTAATACAAGAATTTATGGCCGGAAAAAAGTGGAGAAAATTTCCTGGTTAGTGATTCTTTCATATTTTAAAGACAGTGCATTCACAGCAGTTAAAAGGGATGCAACATTCTAAACTCGGTATGTGCAAAAAGGGGTACCATTTTTCAATAGAAGGTATACGAAAGGGGTACCTTTTCCGTCAAAAATGGTATATAAATGGGTAAGGGGTACGGCCTCGGGGCGGAGCCTCACCGTATAAAACCTTTTTAAGTACCTCCCTATACAGTCAACTCCCTTTATAGCGGACACTGTAGGGACCTCGAGGTGGTGTCCTCATTAGCGAGAGTCCGTAATAGCGGGAGTTTATTTCAGTCAAACGTCTGCAACTTGACAGTTGTGGCTAACGCGGTAGAGATCTGTTTCTAGAGGGTCCCCAATAGGTTTGTCTGTCGTCTTTTTCGGAGTCGGCCCGGGATTTGCCTTAATTGAACGCCAGAATTCGGTATTTTAGAATAATAATAATAATAATAATAATAATAATAATAAATACACAAAAAAGCCAAATGTCACAAATATATGATGTAGATAAAAGAAAAGATAAAAAGTTAAAAAAAATAGTTGAGAAATAAGGAATATTGTATAAAACACAATGTAAAAATGGTAAAATGACAGGGTAAAAAACAATCTAAATTTAAATTTAAACATTAAACGATTTGTAAAATATTTAACGATTTGTAAAAGTGATTTACAAAATGGGGGCAACATTCGGGATTGATTCGGGATTAACGTGTATGCACACGGGATGTGAGATTACGGGATTAACGAACCCTTTTTAGTCAGATTTTGCGGGAGGGCGATATTTTATATTTCTCTGGAACAATTTATTGGGATTGGTCCAGTACGGATTTTCTTCGTGGGAATTATTTTTTGCCATTCTAAGCCATTATATTAAGATTCTTCCGTTTAGAAGAATCGAAACGCAAGTAAAAGAATATTCGAAATCTGATTTTAATAATTTTAAAAATTAATCTTAAAAACTCCAGTAGTGTCATTCTATTACAATCTTGCTCTCATGTGTAGTCGATTGCTCTTAGGGTCTGATATGGCAATTACCAACTCAAATGACGTTCATTGTAAACAGTGATGTTTGTAAAACTATATGATTTTGACGTAGAGTTGGTTTCTTGCGTAAACTGAATTCTCGCGAACGTTTTTTTGTGTGTGTGATGGAGGAGGCTCAAACAAGTGCCAGATGATTGTCGTAACTATGACGTAAGAAGACCTAAGAAGATGAAGCTATGACGTAATTTCAGGGCTTAATCAAAATGGACGGTCTTTATTAGAATAAGACAAAGTACTACACTCAAAAGACTCAAACGCCTGACTGAGGATAAAAAAATAAGCAAAAAAAGGAGTTACGTACACTCAACAGCAAACAAAAATAGTTCCTTTAAGAAAATAACAGTTGGCACGTCACATATTTCGATCATTTCGAGTCGCGTCGCCGACCTGCATAAAGAGAACTTCAACGGTCGGCTTGACGATGGAAAACAGAAGAGGTTAAAAAAAAACTTGATCCATTCCACTTTTATGGAATTGAGTGTAAAAGTTTCATCTTTTCTTCTGGTGTACAGAGGCCGCATTATTCAAGACATTTAATATGTTTACTTGGAAATTAATTGCCAAATCAATTGAACTACATGAAGAAAAACACTATTCACTCACGTTTTCGCGGTTGACATTGAGCTTAATGAACGATTAAGTTCATTACCGTCGCATTGTTCATTTCTCCAATTTTTTACCACTTAAAACAGTCAAAAAACAGCCTTATCCTTCCACCAAAACTGGAATAATTTAGACAGAAATTGAGACATAACGTGAAAGTACCGAACCCGGGGGGTACTCCTGGGAATTCTTGGTGGGGGTGTGCCGCCAGACTACCAAATCCTGACCCTATTTCAGACCAAAACTGTCATTTCCCTTTGCAGTAGTCTAAAGACTGCTGCAAAGCCGGTCATAACAACGTCAGGAGTTTATTATTCCTCACGTGTATTTTCCTTTTTTTATAACGATATTTCGGCTGGCCACACCAGCCTTCTTCAGGTTTACAGATGTTACTCAATCTATGATAGGAATTAAAATATTACGTAGATGGAGAGTGTCGCAATAACAATTGCTTAAAAGGGAGAGGCGGAAATGAAGTACAACATAAAAAAGAAAAGAAAAACTAAAAAGCTGCAATACACGTTGTTATGATCAGCTTTGCAGTATTCTTTCGACTCCTCGTTTATTTGTCCTTAATATTTTAGCTGAT